CTGAAACCAAGGGGGTAAGCGCAGGTATCTAGTACCTGAGGACCTGCTCAGCATCTAAGCACCCATTCGGTACCTACCAGCACCTATTCGGCATCTATACCGCATTTCACTATGAGCACCTACGCACGTTCAGTACATGCAACCACTCTTCCATTATCTTAAGTACTTTTTCAGCACCTTGCAATAAAATTTAGTGATTAGGCTCTGCCCTTTGAAAAAGTACTTAAGATAATAGCAAAGTGGTTGAAGGTGATGAAGGTACTGTAGGTGCTCATAGTGAAATGCGGTATAGGTGCCGAATAGGTGCTATAGGTGCTGTGGGTGCCGAGCAGGCGCTGAGATGCTGGATATCTGTACTTTCCTGGGTAAAGATCGATTTTTGAGAGAAGGGGACCTTAACAAATGATTCTTCTGGGCATGTCTTTATGGACATAAACTTTGAACATGCTTCTATCATTGATAAAAATATCAGCTAATTTTCCTGAGCCGTAATGCAGATATTCAATTCTTTTTTTGGCATACCGACTTTTCCGCCGCCCTGTACTATCCAATCATAAACTGATTACAAGTCGTATTTTTCATGTAACTTTTGACAAAAACAAGATAGAGAGTTGCGTTTTTCATTGTTGGAAACAGAAAATTAAGACGCATCAAATCATATGTTATAGATTGTTTCACTTAGTTTTTCTAAACTTTTAAATATAACTTTTTCTGAAAGAACGTTCTTGATAGGCGAGTACAACAAATTTTCAACTATTCGATATGTATTGAAGGAGACAATTGAGGGTCCATAAACAGCGCAACACTGCGGTTCTTAACTCCAATCCTTCAGGAGCTAAAAGTATGACACGCGAAACAAGAAACTCCTTTTTCAAACATTTCGTATGAAGAATAGAACTCTTTTCTCTTGAAGATGTAGGTATCGCAATAAATGAACTACCTAAATCTCTATCACCCGCACCCTGAAATTTTGATTATGTCCTCTCAAGCTTCAAACCGAAAACACCTTATAGAATCATGAATGTCTAAGACTTAGGTACACAAACCATTAAACCAGGTCTGAATAATGCGAAATGGAGTTCCATCGATAACGACTGACACAAATGCACACCCATACACAAATGCCGCAGGTGAGAGTGCGGCGAAAGGAGTTTCACAAAATACAACTTCTATAAAATGCCTTCACTCACAAAGGCCGCAGGTGAGGGTGTGACAAAAGACGTTTCACTAGATACGACTCAGAAACGCCACATTCACACACGAACGCTGCAAGTGAGCATACGATGAAAGGAGTTTCACCAAATACAACTTCTACAGAATACACTCAAACACAAACACCACTAGTCAGGGTGCGACGAGAAGAGTTTCACCAAATACAACTTCTATAAAATACACTGGCACACAAACGCTGCAGACGAGGGTGCGACGAAAGGGGTTTCACACAATACAATTTCTATAAATTACACTCACATAGAAACGGTGAGGGTGTGGGAGTTTTATCTAATACAACTTCTATAAAATATACTCACACAGAGACGCCGTAGGTGAGGATGCGGTGAAAGGACTTTCACCAAATATGACTCACAAAGACCACACTCGCAGACAAACAGTGCATTCATTGGTTCGGGTGAAGGACTTCGCGAATGAAAGTGGATGAGAGAGATAGGCGGTCGACTGCGCCGCAGATGATGTTTAGAGATAAGGATGAGTTAGGTGTATGGTGTAAACTTGAGGTTAAGTTGAAAATTAGAAGTGTTGTTGAAAGTTGAAATTGGCGTTTTACGTTGGATGCTGTGCCACCATATATATTGTTAAGGTAACAATGAAATGTGTGTCCGGTGTAAGTTCCTGAAACTTATAAGGAGTTATGTTGTATTCGGAAAGCAAAAAGTCATATGTCATAGGAGTTTATATGACGAAATTGGAATACACTGTTTGTAAAGTGTAGAAATGTACCGACTTTAGCATAATTTGGAGGAACCGGTATATGGTATGTTTGAACAGTATTAATTTAAGCTCGAGTGGATGTTCAAGGAGAGGATAGAAGATATGAAATATGTAGTTTGTAGATATTGGTGTTATAGCGCTGGCACCCTTCATATTGTAATGGACTCACAATAGTGATTGATGGTGTTATCTCGATACAGTTTGTCGACACTTGCTCGCAGAAATTAATTCGAAGAAATAAATACGCTCTCAGTGTGCCTTGTACATCTTCATTTCGATATTTATAGGTCTTGTATATTACTGATCTAACAGTGGCAAAATGACCACCAATCCCATGTCCGTGTATCTTTGATTAAAAAAGAATACAGTTTCTCAGTTTCCAACGTTGAATAGCAGTAGTAGCGACACAAGAAAACGTATTTTTGAACTTTTCAGTAGATTTGCTTTTCAGGCTTTTACACTGAATTTTCTAAAATTGGATAGTGAAAAAAAAAGTTTTAGTCAAGGAAAAATAAGAGGAAATAGTCCTTCATTCATAGGAACTGTTAGGAAGTCCAGTTTTTCGTTTGCAGTAGAATACTTTCATTCATTCATTCATTTTCTTTCCCTTGGGCCCGTCGAGTTGAGGTTTCAGCTCGTTCAGTAGCTTCAGTAGGATACTTATAGATCCTAAAAGATCGAAGCTAGATTTCTGGCTGGAGCTTAGTCTTATAGATCTTCAATTGATGCTTTCAATACAATGCATATCAAATAGTTGAGAATTCGTTGTAGTCGCTTATCAAGAAGGTTGTTTTAGAAAAGTTCTATTTAAAAGTTTAGAAAAACAAAGTGAAACAGTCTATAACATATGATTTGATGCGTCTTAATTTTCTGTTTCCAACAGTGAAAACCACAATTCTCCATCGTGTTCCTGTCAAAAGTTACATGAAAAATACAATTTTTAATCATTTTGTGATTGATAGTATATCTCCTATATCTCCTCTACCTCCTATACTCTCTATACCTCCTATAGCCTTTATACTCCCTATACCTGTCTATCTGTATACCTCTTACCCTAGGACATAATCGAATTTCCGGGGATATTCTCCAAAAACATTTAATCCAAAAACTGTTAACATCCATCTCCCGCCGCAATCCTAGATCCTTCGCGTTGCCCCTGAAGTTAGGTGAAATGTAAATAAACAAGACTTATGTTCTGGAAAAATAGAATGAAACATAGCAGTGGCTTGTCGGAAGTGCCGTCACGGAGGAGCGCCGAGGAACGAGTAGCAGCTTCGCTAGAAAGTCCCTTGAAAGAAGACTTCGGGGTGTTGGGATTCATGCAATAAATATCAATAGTCTACATCTAACCAGCTTCCATACGGAGTAGCGGTTGCTGAGAACTGAGAAATATTTTGAAATAAAATGTGACAACACTTGTTCTGCATATACCAATAAATGAACAGTACAATCGGCAGAAAATAGCACTTGAACAATTTATATGCATGTTATCAGACTGAGGTTCGAATGAAATAAATAGGATTTTTCTGCTGCGATGTTTCCTTATTCATACGCATTCAAACGTCGATATGTATACCGATTTATTCAAATTACCTATCACATCTGACGATTCTTTGAGTAGGAGCTTCTTCAAAGTATAATAATCCGACTACAAACCGCACCTAATATGATTGATTTTAGTCTAAAAGTTCAACCAAACCCGTGTTTTACTAGCAGACACTCTAGCAAACAATATTGTTATTTTGTGGGTTAATAAGTAACGGATTTTTAGTGGAAAGTTTAAAGAGCATGCCATGCTTTCACAAAAAAGTCATAAATGCGTTTTGATTTATTGCCACTCAGCAAGTTGGATATAATCTATTTTCTGTTACATGTGGACAATGCCGCCATAGTGTTGTTCTCTATGTCATTGTGAACAACGAAATTGTGCTAATACCAGCGCCCCCGCACTTATCCACTCTTTCGAAATATCGAATACGGGCGTTGTGCAAGACTGTAAAGTACTATAAAATATCAAAGGACTGAATATATAGTCGAGGGTCATGTGAAGCATAAGGACGGGCGTTGCTTGTTTTCTTGACCATCTAAAATATTTTCAAGCGAGTTAAAGCTGAACAAACATATTCTCCAAAGACTTTCGTCTCACCCATCAAAGACTATTTTGGCACTGCCAAGAGACCAATTTTCAGTACATCCATAACACAGTTTCTTTTTATTTTTAGGTGAGAGACGTGAGCGGTGCATTTCCTATTCATTATGCTTGTCGTTATCATACAAGCGACGCTATGCTTGCTCTGTTTGATGATTTCACTGAATGGTCAGAATATAAAACCTATGACGATAAGAGACCAATCGAAGTGGCGGCCGAGCACGGGCAGCTTATGGTTGTTGAAAAGTACTTGTCCAATCATCCTGCACCGAAAGACATCAATCAACTAGTCCGTGCCGCAGTTAGACATCATACCAAGGATGTCCTATCCTATATTCAAAGCAAAAATCTAGCTAAGAACAATGATCATACTGAAGCTTTGCACTATGCTTGTCGACAACCACATGGGCATCAATCAATAGAAGATATAATTTCCCGTAATAACATGACTGCTCATGACAAAAATGGATTTACTCCGTTAATGGTGGCCGTAAAACATCGTCGACTCAAATCTGTTCAAAAGCTTCTCGCCAGTGAGTTTTGTACAAAGGAAGTGCTTGAAATGGTTAGCCAGGACGATTCTGAACGTACAGTGCTACATATTTGTGCAGAAGTAAACCAAAATGAGATAATTAAAGTACTATTTGAAAAAATTGCTGAATTGTACAATGATAACCAACCATGGGCTATGTGCGATGTAATGGGAAACACACCTTTGCACATTTGTGCTCAAAAGGGCAATAGTGACATGTGCGAGAAAATAATTGAGTACTATAAGCGCAACAGTAGCGATTCTACGAATCAATCGTCTAGAAGATCGACAATATTGACCATGAAGAATTACAATAAGTGGACAGCATTTCATGAAGCTGTTCAAAATGGCTATTTCGGCATTGTAGACAGCATGCGTAAAAATCTGGATGATGCAGTATTTAAGGACATGGCTGCTATTGTTGATGAAGAACTTCGTACCAGTTTGCATATGGCAGCAGAAAAAGGTTAACTGATTTTATGAATTTGTTTTTACAAAAATCATTATCTATTTAATTTGCTACTTTCTAGGTAATCTTGGCATAATGAAATTACTCATAGAAGTCAACAGGAGCGATGGTCTAGACGCTCGTGATTCCATGGACCGTACGCCATTACATGCAGCAGCTAGTTGGTCTGCATATGATGATGATGATAATAAAAGGCGAACTGACTGCATTAAGCTTTTGGTCGATCAGAACGCTGACATAAATGCGACAGACTTACGACGAGAGACACCATTACACATAGCGTGCAAAAGTGGTTCAGTCTCATCTGTGAAATGTCTGCTTAAATCAAAAGCTGATCTTTTGGCAACAAATATATATGGACTCAACTGTCTTGAAGTGGCAATCGAAGAGGAAAATAAACCAGTCGTTAAATACCTTCTTGAACATGATCGTGTATTTGAATTGATGCGTAACGCACAAATTGAGAAAGATTCGCAGGAGGGTAAGTCCACTGAAATCTTTTCATCACTAAAATGATCGTGTTCAAACTAATCGGAATTTAAAGGGTTTATAGATCACTTTAATTACAGCAAAGATGTAGATTTTATCGTAAATTCGGAAAGTCATTGATAAATTACCGAATGTTCACATAAAGCGGCAATAATCTCCCTGTTTCAACAAGTTTCTTAGCAGCATTCTTATTTGAAAGCTTGATAAAAATAATTCAGAACCTAATCGAAAGCGTCCTAGACAATTCTCTACAGTTCATTAGTTTGTCGAGTATTTTGATATCATCGATTCTTGAAAGTAGGTTTGCTTTTTTGTACTGAGATGATCATTGCTAAAAGTTGTATAAATCATGATAGTTTCGTGAAGTTCGGTGACACTTTTGGGCTTTCTGGTAGAGATCCCAAAGAAGAGCCGTGGCTACAAGCTTTCAAATCCTTACGATTTATGGAGAGATTCACTGTTTCCAGGCACCCTAAGAGTTTAGAGTTTAGAGACTTGTACCTAGCCAGGAATCCTTCACAATATTTATGAAGCTATGAAATCCAAAAATGGTTTATTTATACATCTAATAAATCAGTTTTTTTCATTTATGAAACTCTCTAACCCGTTAAAGAACGACTAATATCCTTTTCGCAGGTTTCCCATGTAAATATTTTTTGCCTCAAAACGCGTCTGAAACGCGTTTCATTTGCGTGCGAAACGCTAAGAGTGAACGCGTTTGAACGCGTCCCCAGTGAAACAAACGAAGCGTTTAAACGCAATTTATTTTAGAAACGCGTGTGAATGCGCTTCTAGCTTGACTTGCGTTCAAACGCATTTTTAGCGAAAACGCGTCCCAGATGAAACATTTAATGCGTCTGGACGCGTTTCATAAAAAAACTAAAAATTTTGAAAAAAAATATGATAATCCATTTCAGATTCGAACTGAGTTGCCACCATCAATATTTTTTGATGGTCTTAGCCTTCCCTGGCAAATGGATTAGATTTTACCTTAAGCGACGACGATCAGATTTGAACAGATGAACCAGTGATTAGAAGTCGTTCATACATACCGCTGAGTTATACTAACTCGAAATCTTGTCTTATTCAAAATAAAATATATTTGAAGACGAATTTCATCGGTTAAATACTTTATTTTAACAAGATGTATTTTTTTCGAATTCAAGAGTCTTAACACGTAAGATGACTTTTCAGTTATTTTTTTAAATAAGTTTTTTACTTTTTTAATAAAATAACATTTTTTTTTTATCATCTACTATACATAAAAAATATTACGATCTTTTTTGTTGCACTGGTAATACGATAAATAATTTTATCGAAAAATTTAATGAATAGATAATTATTGACAACCAATTTAGTAGAAATATATGATGAAAAGTTACTAATAATATTATTTAAATAGTAGTATTTAACAATATTCTGAAAGGGCATTGCATAGCTGGAAACTATTACAATATTATCTAACTATTTTTCTTACAAACTTTAGAGAAATATGGACTGTTCACCATATGTTTAATTAAATTTTGTCTATTTTAACGTCATCTCGACATTCTTTATTAGAAGTCTAATGAAGTTTAGATGAATAAAATACATGTAAGCTGATGATTTTGATTATGCAGTTAACTCTTCTAGAGCAGCAATTTTTGGGTAAAATCGCGTCCGATACACAAAAAATAAACACTTTCAAAGGCACTCGACAATATGATTGCGTCCTAACGCGAGCGAAAAACATATTTAAGACACGTTTGAACGCAGTTCGTAAACAAAATTTTTTTAAACGCATTAAATTTTTTTCAGAAACGTGTCGAAACGCGGTTCATTTTTTTCAGAAACGTGTCGAAACGCGGTTCATTTTTTTCTGATTGCGTTTAAACGCCTTGTATAGAAAACCTGCGTCCAGACACGTTTCAAAATTTTTTCTAACTGCGTCTGGACGCGTTTTGTTGTGAAACCGCGTTTCAACGCATCGATCTTGCGTTTCGTGATTACATGGGTTTATTATTCATTGAATTTTAATACAATGTACTGTTGTGGTCTGCCATTCTTTCAATGTATGTAACTAGAACATACTTTTTTAAATGAACGGACTCAATAGAAAGAGAACTCGAGTTCAGATTTATGTTCACATAAAAATAGTCATGAGCCCAGACTGAGTCCGAGTGTATACAAATTTGCTGTAAATGAAACTCTAAATTCATTATCTCAGCACTGAATGTCTCGAAAGAAAAGAACTCTATTTTGCTTCTCTTTTATCTACTTAATAGCCTCTATCGATTAAATACGATTTATGCTTGAAAGTGGCTAAATACTTAGGAAGGTTTCCTTCTTTAGTGCACTTGACGATATTCTTGATTTCAAATTTTTGCAGATTTAATGTCAACTAGCTAACGCTATCATGGCTATTCTCGACCAATTCCTGTGTTGTCCAGTGCACTTACTTTTCGATATACAGTATGAACCTGACATAAAACTGTCACATGTATCCTATTTTGCTAGTATACACCCCAGAAAAATCTATATCCACGGAGTACACTTTTTTCTACAGATAGTCTCACTCTTAATCTATATGTTTCACATTACTGTATTTATTAGCCAATTTCTAGGCTTCTGTGGGGGAAATGTACTTCATTGAGCGACATTTAGAACAAGCCACTTATTTATGTGTAGTCCAAATCGACGCTAAAGAAACATGTATTGTTTTCTGTAACATAATTAATTTTAAAACTATGATTTAGGCATTTAAATCGTTTTTTCTGAAAAAAAAGAACAATAAAATTGATTTCTAATAAAGTAGAGTTGAATATAATGCTGCTGTCTTGAAATAAAAGAAGTTTTTTTGGTCGTTTTCTCAGTAAACACTAGAGACCTTACGGAGTCAATTCTTTTGATTCTAAAACCTGACTCTGGAAAATTTCCTTTTCGAGACTGCGATTCCGAAAATGTTCATCTTTTAACTCCAATTGCAATTCTGAAAAGTTTCGAAACTCTTCAACAATATCATTTAAAGATAAAACGCTCTTAACAGAGAAAGATTTCTTTAATGCCTTATAATGCGCGTTTTTCATGTTAAACAAGTCAAGTTTAAAAAAAAACAGTTTATGAGTGTTATCATCTTCAAACTCGCCTTTTTCCCCAAAAATAGTACTTTTCTTTTTTTAATGTGTGAAAAATTCGCATGTCTACTTCTAAAAACGCATTTTCGTTGCCGATTTTACCTGTCTGGGATGTTCTTTTTTTTAAACAATCAAGAACTGATCATGAAAGTAGTTTTAGTACTTTAAATAACGTTAATATAGTGTTTTTGACTGATGTAGTTATGTTTTCATCTTATCTGCTCATTCCAACGTTATAACTATCATGTGATTTGCTCACTTTTCTGCCCCACAGGTTGTTATTAATCTATGTGACAGGTATTAGTTTCTTTTCTTTGTTAATATGCAGAATGAAGTTGTCGTAAATAGGAAAAAAAATTATCGGAGCAAAAGTCGCAAGCGATATTGTAATCAACTCCGTCTCCGACTCAAAATTTTTTTTTTCAGTAAATTCGACTCCGACGAAGTCGGAATTGGATGTCGAATAAAGATGCAACAGTGATAGTGTTTCAATGGTTATGACGTATTCCTAATGAAGTTACTAGAGTTACACTGATTCCAATTACAACTGACCCTAATCGGTTTCTAATCAAGATGTGCACAAAACCTACAGTGATGGTCGGTTTAACCATTATTCGGACGACTTAGAGTTCACACGCCTGAGGTTGCCTATACAATAGCTACTATTGTAAGTTTTTATGGTCCTACCGGCTCTATTGTTAGCTTGATCATTGCATTCGTGTATGAAAAAGGTGCTACCACTGCTGTAGAATCGTATATTCCTAAACATAGTCTCGACTGTCGAAGTTATAGCCAATGTCATTGATCAGAACATCAAGAACCAACAGCATAGGTCGCTTTCATCTATCATTCAGACACCTTAAGGTTCAGGTCATCGAATGATATCTATAAACCAGTCATCATCATAGACTTTTGTTGTCTTATTTTCAGGTGCAAGCCTGAAAACTTGAGATTCACAGTTGCGGATAATGGACACACATTGATCATCATCATAGGTTTCTAAAATCTTACTGGCTTGATTCTCACCTATATCTGGAACATCTGGTGAACGTTTGCAATAATCACTATTTTTTACAATAGTTACTTCTAACTGGAAAATTGAATGTGTACCGGTGCCATAGATCCATTAAATCATGAGTGGAACGGTATACGGTTCATCGTCAACGTCGCATCCTACCATCGAATTATAAGGAAAGTCTCTAGTTGACATGTCTATCTCAAAAGAAAAACTAAGTAGCCTCGAGATGTATCTCATGCTATAAAGAATTGTACTCAAATTGTGTGTCATTCGCAATATGACGTGCTCTATTAGGAAATTAAGACATGGCAACTTCTATTTGATTTGAGATTTATGTTTCGGGGAATAACTATGATTTTAAAAACTCGAAATTTCTAACTATGCATTTATTCTACGTATGAACACAGGAGCTTCCATAGTATTGAATCACATATTCTACTAGTCTGCATAATTTCAGCTACTGGTCAAAGTATTACTCGACTTTTACGGATATGCCTTCCTCTATTAAAAGTTTGTCAACGTGAAATTTTAAGAAACATAATTTTACACTCAATTGTCTAGAACACTTTTGGTTACGTTTCTGCATTATCAATCACGCTTGCAAATAAGAATACGTCTAATTCTGCTGATAAAACAGGGGCATTTTGCCTACACAGTATGAGTCTATGGTAATTTGTTGATAGCTTATCAAATTTATAATGAAATCTGTACTTTTTCTATCATAAAAATGATCTGCAAATTCAATGCGTTCTATCCCGTTTTCAGAAGGTCGTTTTCATGATAGCGAGATTCTAGTGAAATCACTCATAAACTAATTTTGTTAATACATTATTTAGTCAGTACACCAATGCGAAAGCTCATCAAGTTGATGCCTGACTTGGCTTTGATTTTACTTGAAAAATGTACAATAACCGTCGGTACCGAGAGATCGCACCTATATAAGAATGTTTATAATTACGAATTTTTGGAAGACCAATATTCAATTGTTGACTGGAAAAAAGGTAAAAATGTTTTACGCTTCAATCAATATCTGACACATAAATATAAGGTACGATGAGATAATTAGATTTCGGAAATTAGTAATAGCTGTAACAATTGAATATTTCATAATGAGTGAATATTTTAGTATTTTAAGTAAAGTTTTTCTCTTCCTTTTAACTATTCAGTTGGTAAATTTTTTCAAAGGTTTTATGTAGAAGTTCTCAATAAAAAAATACGTAGTGTATTCGATTATATATTACAACAGTCAAAGATCTTGGCAAAACGTATTCGGCATATAATATATTCTCAACTTTCCAAAGAATAATAATTCACTTATTATTCGTTTATTTCTTTTTATGTTCACCTATGAAAAATTCCAATTAATCATTGATTTGTTATTAGTTAAAAGCTCTACCCGCAAGTATTCAGTCTAGAAAATATTCGCGCTGCATCTAAACCAATTTGAATGTTAATTTTTTTTTCCATTAAACCATCATATTCGATAGCGATTCCACAGTATATTGTAATCGTCTTTTCCATCGAAAACTAGTGCTTCATAGTCAAATTTATTCTATTCTACATAACATTTACACAGGTTATATGTTTAAAGTATCAAAAAAAAGAATAAATATTATTTTTATCAATATGCAAAGTAAATTCTTTTTTTCCCTAGATATTATTCAATAAATTGAATCTGTTTTCTTTGAATACCGTTTTCAAATGAAATCCTACCTATATCATAAGAAAGAGCAAACTTAGCATTTTCCTAAAACTAATGACGATAAGACTCTTGATAAACTTATTATTGTTCAAAGTATTAATTAAAACTCATCGCATTCTTTTGTAGTCTTCAAATTTTTATTTTTTCAATAAATAATTCATTCTTTTTCTGTAAAAGATTTTCAAATCATTCGCCGAACAAACACCTAGAGGCAAAATAGATAAAGCTTCTAATAAAACTACCATGATGTACAAAGCAATAAAGTCAGATTTATATTGATCGAATAGTAACATTCTGTGTTCGAATCAAATAATAGATCAATTTAGAATACGTTCAATAAAATCTCAATTGAAAAGCATTTGATTAATCAATTGTTTATCAATTACACTTCATCACACTTTTTATTTCTCTCATTTTTTTCTGTCTAATTGTGAAAAAAAAACAGTTCGTTAGCTGTTTTTCTCTTTTCAATATTGGAAAAGTATTCTGATTCATTGATTAGTTTTGAACTGAATAATAATGATTAATCGGTACTAATAAACGAATGTTATGCCAAAGTAGAATGCATTAAACGATGTCAGCAAATTAATTTTATATCTTATTATTAACAAGATATGGAAAATAAAACTCCTTTTCATTTTGAAGAAATAAATATATATTAGAAAAAAAAAGTAATACTAATGATCAAAACTGTGAAATAATCAATTGTGAAGAACTTCTAGATAGATAATCATGCTTAGTTTACTATTCCTTCGGCAGTGTTTGATTTCATCCTGGAAAGATACATTATTCTTTCATTAAATTCAGGTAATCCAAACATTGAAGCATCAGAAACTATGAATATATCAAAGGACGAACCCTATACAAAAGATGCTAAGAGGCTTGTCCGTAATCATCCACTCTTTTTGATGGCCGATCAAGATCGATACAAGCTAATGGAACAGCCTATTTGCAAAACTCTTCTTTACAAAAAATTTTGGCCGCTCGGAGGCTGCCTATTCTTTACATTTCTCTTGATTTATCTAAGTTTCGTTGGCATTTTTACAACAATTGCTTTACGAGTTGAACATCCACAATATTATTACAATTTGACAAATGTTAATTTTGATTTTGATCTTTGCCCGAATGTTTGTCGACTAATCGCAAATGGAACAGTTGGTTCTAACGGCATGAAACAATCCGTCGATAATTATCTTGTATATTTCATTTATCCATTGATGATATTAATATTACTAAAAAATATTTGGATTATATCAAGTCTTTCTCAATTTGAATTAGTGAAAATATTCATATTGTTGTTTCAAATCAGTGGAGTTGTACTCTGTTTTTGCTTTATATTTGATAATGATTACCAAAAACAAGTTCTTGTGCGTTGTCCTATTCAATGGCAAATTGGTGCATTTGGTCTATTTTCCAGCTACCTGGGTACATCCTATTATCTTCAATATACTCCAACTATTGGTGTCTATACTCTTATGATGGCAGCTGTTTTCATAAGGTTTATCCTCTTTCTTCCTGCATTATTAGTCCTCACTTCTGGATTTGCACTATGTTTCTATATGCTTTTTTCAAACTTTGATCCATTCTCATTACCTATTCTCTCTCTTCAGAAAACAGGTATTTTTCTAAAATAAACTCTTTTTTTTATTATGATCTTGCAATTCGATTTTAATTTAGCGATGATGATTACTGGTGAACTTAACTTTAATGATGTTATGTATTCATCAGATCAAGAAGCTTACTATAAACTTGGTTATATCATGTTCATTTTATTTGCTATTTTTATGACAGTTATTACAATGAATCTTTTAATTGGTAGAAATTTTCTTTTATGATCATGAATATTAATTCTTCTTATTTTTGTATTAAATAGGTTTGGCTGTTGGTGAAATTCAAGGTTTATTAAAGCAGGCTAAGTACGCTCAACTCGATATGACTTATGAACTTGCACGTGATTATGAAGTTCTTCGAATGCAACTTTTCAAATTGAAAGATCGCTGTCGAACTATTGGTTTTCAAGTTGAACCGTATGAAACTCGTGATATGCTTAAGATACCCAATCATACTAAATTCGGAAAATGGTTTTCGAATTTGTTGGCACGTGAATTGTTTGCTGATGAATTGATGGATGAACCTACCGATGATACAACCGAACAGCAATTTAATATATTACAGGAACTTCAATGTGGAATGCAAAAAATTACTTCAAAAGATCATGATCAAGATGAAAAAAGGAAGGATTATCAAATCAAGAAAAAAAGTTAATTTACAAGATAGTATTAAAATTTAAGAACACAATCTTTCTTTTTTTTCGTATTTTTTGTTTAATCTTCTATAGAATAACGTGATCAATTCTTTATTTAATCAGCAACTTTTGGGGAAAAAAAACAGGAAAGATTTTTCTTTGAATATAAAAAGTAGTGCGTGCATAATCGAAATATTATTCTGTATTTTCTAATACTTCTTCAACTCTTAAAAAAAAAGAATATCTTCAATAAAGAATACTTTATGATGAACTCGATGATTTAAGATTCAAGTTAAATTACTCCTTATGATGACCAAACGTGGTTTATAAACAGGCAATTGACTGAATACGAGAATAAAGATGAGATTAGCAGCCACGATTAAGATTTTCTTCATTATTACTTCAATGATTTTGGGATCAAATCGTTTCTACAAAAAAAAAATCAAATCAAAATTAAAATATTCATTTGATACTTTTTGAAAAGTAACAATGACGAAAAGAGACATGTTTCTTTTTTTTCTACATAAATAATTGAATAAATTCAAGTGTCTATGTAGAAATATAGATTAGTTTTCAAAAATATTGAACATCAATGAATATCATCTTTTTCAACTATTTCATATATTAAAGAACAATTATTTTTATGATCGACAATCAATGGAAGATTCATTCGCTCGTATATTAGCAAAGATTTCGATAAAACAGTCAATGTATATTCCGTTAATTATTTTCGAAGTTGTCATTTCATTATTTGTTTTTTTACAAATAAGATGAAATTGATCTTCATCATAGATATAGTAGAATAGAATAATAATCTATATTACATGAAATATTGTTCCAATTCAATCGTATTCTCCTTCCATTCTGCTCTAAAGCAGAAGCCATGCGAAGATTCTAAGATTGAGGAACGGTGTGATCGATATATTTCTAACAAAATTTCACAAGATAAGAACAAAACATACAGAATAACTACTCTTTTCACCGGAGAATAGCTAAAAAGTTCGAATTATTGTCAATGTATGATCCGCCAGATATATAATCTTGTTTCTGCAGCTGCTATCCAAAACAAATGAATAGAATAGTAATATCAGAAGTTATAGGTCAATCATCGCAATCAACAGAATAAATAAATAAATAATATTCAACATATTGTCTCAGAAAACTATGTTTCTAGTCACTCAAGAAGTTATTGAGGTCTAACACATAACTTTATCATATACTGAAATGAAACAACTGCTCGTTCTGAAAAGTCACTAACAATACTATTTAGGAATTTATCGATGTGAAATAACTAATGAACAATTGAATGATCACATTCTAATATTTGATATTCGACAAGGAAAAAGATTTTGCTATTCTCGTCATATTTTCTATTGGTTTGATAAAGAATTGCGGAATATTTTGTGCAGAAGATTTTATATTTGATTATTTCAAAAAAAGAATAAATCGACGTTCTTTCTAAGAATATTTCATCAAGCATATTCATTACTATAATAATATTACACATATATACAATTTTGAACTATTCGAAGAGGCATTAAAATGATTTTCTTATCATGAATCAAAATGTTTATTTTTTGAGACATTTACAGTGATAGAATTGTTTCTATTTATACAGGGTGGACTATAATAAATGTCCTACTTTTGCATTTCATTTTTCCACAACTTAATACGTTGTATTAAAAAA